GGTACGTTTTGCCTCGTCTTGCGCAATAAGCGTTTTGCGTCTTTTTCTATCTAATAAAGTTTTCGTATTATTACCTCTTTGTCTGGTAAAATAGATAGGTCTATTGAACTGGCGGGAAATTTAAATTATGATTTATTGTTTGGGTTTAGCAATAAATAAATATAAAAAATAATAAAATCACTATTAAAATAAAGGTATAGTTGCTAAAAGGTGAGGGTATATATTATCAATTCTTTGGTACCTGCCAATGATAATCCTAATTATACACATTTGAATTATTGCATATTATGCATTTTTTTTTTTTGGGGTACTTTGAATGTACCTACATCCATCATTCTGTGGACGTTCTATGTACGTACATACGTGTACGTCCACGGTACGTCCATTTTTGGCCCCAACACGTACTGATAAAAATGGACATAAAATGTACCATCGTCACCAAAAGTAACTGGGACACAAATAATGCATAATAATCTCCTGGACTAATTCTACTGTCATTCATTTCAATGCATTCATTCATAGTTTGACAAATATTTGACAATAAAATTCATATAATAGGACAAGAGCAAATGTGTTGCTGTCCCAGTTACTTTTGGTGACGATGGTACGTCCCTGGTACGAAACCGCTGTGTACGTCCCAGGTACCGTAGTTTTCTACGTACATTGTACGTCGCAGGTTGGTCCCGGACGTACCGACGTAAAATGGACTTAAAAAGTACGTCCCTGGTACGAAGTGTGCTGTATGGGTAGTTATGGCTTCCAGACAAAAAAATGTTCCCTGTGGTTGTCTCTGTGTTGCCTGGACGATTTCTTCCCCGATTGCCGTGCTCCTGTGCCTTGGCCGGAACAGTGATGCCCCTGTGTTTGTTGATCTTAAATTATACTTCTTAGGCTCGAGCCTAAGCGTTTTTCACGAATGTCCAAAGATGATCATCTTCGGACATTCGTGCAAAATGCTAATATTTTGTCTCTGTTATTTCACCAGTTCCCTTGCAAAGAAACTTCAATGGTACGTCTCGTCGAAAAGATAAAACCCACAAAAAATGGTTTAATTAAAAACGCCTTCGCCACTATATCCGGAATCTGCTACTTCTCGCCCTCTGTGATTTTCCTTTTTATCGGTTGTAGTGCTTAGTGACACAGTTTTATAAACAATTCGTCGTCAGCGTAACCGTACCTGCTTCTAATTATCTGGGTCACTAGAGTTTGTTTATTATTATATATTTTCTTTTGTGTCCTGGGTTTTTTTCCAATAATATGGTGTCGTCAAGATTTATTATGTAAGACTGCGTTATTTCTTTTGTACTGCTGTTTCTGGGTCCTGGGCTAAGTTCACGACAAATAGAATTCCACTAGAATTCTACTTTCATGACGTCAGGTTACCTAGCAACCGTCATCATCGCCTGTACTGTACGCGATAAATAGGTCGCGGGTGACGTCATGAAAGTAGAATTCTACTTACCGTGATCCCAGCCCAGGTACCTGGGTGTCGAAACGGCGCCTCCACCAAATATGTCACAACACCCCTATACGTTTCGTCCTTGGATGTCACAACAGGTACAGGAGCGTGATCTGCGGGGGGGGGGGGGTGTAGGTGGGGCGTAGGTGGGGCTCAGGTAGAAAGAAACTCGCTTGGTATAGGTATAATAAGATATGTATTGATGAAATAGAATAACATAACCCTAGGAATAATACCATGACGTTTCTTCTACGGAGGGACGTATTACTTAGGCCACTCTGTATTATGTACCATCGTCACCAAAAGTAACTGGGACAGCATCATATAGCTCTTGTACTATTATAAGAATTCTATTGTCAAATATTTGTCAAACTATGAATCAAATGCATTAAAATGAATGACAGTAGAATTAGTCCAGGAGATAATTATGCATTATTTTTGTACCAGATACTTTTGGTGACGATGGTACATAGACTCTGTACCCTTAGCGTGACTGAAGACTGGAGCTGGGTTTGAGATAGGTCCAGAAGGTAGTTTGCACTGGGAGGAGACTTAGCTAGAGGAGCTTTTCCCAATTGAGGTACTTCACACTAGCCTTAGTTTGCCGGTAATGGATCTCGTCGCGGTATTTATACCAAATTATTGCTGACTCGTCAATATACAGGCTTACAGTTTTGCATTCCAAAGCAGTCAATACTTTCTCTTGCATAAGCTGTTTGGCTTACTTCTACTAAACCATTTTCAGTTCTTATAATTTCTATAAGAAGCTGTTAGTTATTTTTAAATCTCTTCGTAAACTTTCTAAGAAGGAATTGAGTCCATCATCCACATATGTAATACTAGTAGAAGTGTCTTCTTCAACTTTCTTTATAAAGAATAGCAAGGGTTGGTAGGTATCTGATCTTGTAAAACCAAGAACTTCTATACAATCGGTAAATCTTTGATTCCAACATCTAGGTGCTTGTTTTAGTCCATAAAGACTGCGCTGAAGTTTACAGATCATGTTACTTCCATCTTCATATCCCTCTGGTTGCTTCATATAGACTAGAATTATTCACCTCCCAAGTACAATTTTCTTGTAGTGACTGTTTTTCTTTATCCATTGCCAAAATCCAATTGTCTTTATTATTGCAAGTAATAGCATCTTTGTTGCCTCCTGTGGTTCGCTTATTTCTTCAGCATAACTGTCATAGTCCTCAAAACGAACAGGTTTAGCTCTCTTCTCTCTCTCAGTTGTTTTCTTATTTCAGTTTGATCTTCTAGGTCTGCTTGTACTGTTCTATGATCCTTTTTTGTCTGATCTGTCATTTCCAGACTTGTATCTGTTCGGTCTGGTGTCTCCAAATGTGGATTAGTTTGATCTTGAATCTGGTATTCTTCGGAGAATTGTTGTTCTTGTTCTATTTGATCTTTATAGGTTCATTATTTGATGAATTCTGTTAACCTTCTTCACCTATAACAAGTTTCATTGGTTTGATGATGATGATGAATGAAACAAATTTCACACGGTTGGCGGTAAAGGGGTTGCCTTTGGATCAAAATTACCTATTTTCATACCTATGAGACTAAAACTAGAAATCTCGTGACATTTTTCACTTCAACGTTGATCTCAGTGACCTCTTTTTGTATGAAAACGACACCAAACTCGGCACAATTGGAATAATTTATTTTTTTGTGCAACCATCCGCGAGATGAGCTTTCGCGGACGCCACACAGTCCGCGAAGTTCAATTTCGCGGCCGTTGCCCTTCGTGACGGCCGTGAAACTAAAAATCAAAATTTGACACTTTGACAACAGCTTGACAATAAATAAATTTTATTTCCAAATTCTTCACAACGACATACATTATTTAGGATAAATATTAACAGTTATATGACAGTTAGAATTATTACTAATATTTACTCCTGAAGTTGAAGCAACTAAATCCAGTGTTTTTGAATAAATATTACTAACATTCGAGCTAGAAGCTATACTGCCAGAAATTGAATTAGAAATTTTTTTCTTATTTTCGATGGAGTCCTCTATATATCCTTCCGCTACTGTGGTGGATTTCCACCCACCGTGGCGTTTCAGAACTGACATATCGGCACCGGTATTTGCAAGAAGCGTAGCAGAGCTTCTTCTGAAACAGTGACCCGTGTATGCTTCACTATTTTGCAATCCCAGATACTTAGCAATTATGGAGGGTATTTTTCCGATCGTATGCACCCCGACAACTTGTGCAGTGCACTTTCCATTTTCATATCTCAAAAATACACGACGACTATTAATATTTTTTGGTCGAAGGGCTGCGTATTTGAGGTAAATTTTTATAAAATTCAAATTAGTGATTGTGAAAACGCGCTTCTGGTGAGTCTTAGTATCAGGAACTGTTACTATTAATACGGCATCTTTCTCCTGAATGTCATCTATCGTCATTTTAACTACTTCATCTCGCCGCAATGCTCCTGATATTCCCATAATCATAACTACCTGAAACAATAATTGTGATAAATAAACCAACTAATCGAAAGCTTACTTTTTTAACAATTTACCTTCAACAATAAATAGTTTTCATCACAAGCTTCTTTCATGAACAAATCAATTTGATCACCCGTTAACACTTTCGATTTCTTTGCTTGATAACCTACAGACTTTTTTTTCAGGAAAGGTACCACTTTTGAAAACTTCCTCACATCTATCCCTTCTCGTACGTTGAGCATACAATAAATGCTCCATAAACTTGAACTCTTCAAAACTTTCGATTTCTGCATTAAATAAGCCAACAATATATTTTCAGACACCATTTTGACGTTTTGTTTGTCACACCAATTTTTGAACTCGAAGCAACAATTTTCATATTGCCGCTTAGATTTTTCAGGTATCAACTCAGAAATAGCTGATTGAACTACACTTTTTAGCTCTGGAGGAGTGCAAGAAGGTGAAATATCTGTATCGGTGCTGGACATTTTCACGATTTTTTGAGAACCGTCAAATTTTTTTGTTTTATTGTTTACATGCAAAATATGATATCCATAGAAACGCTGTGCCACCATAGCCACCAGGTTATATTATATCAAACTGGTAGTTAGTTCCACATGCTTGTTGAAAGAAGTAAATTTTTTCTGTAATTTCACATAATTTTCATGGTTGCACAAAAAATAGTGTGTATACCATGACCGCGAAACTTTTTAGCGTCCTCGAGATTATCTTGCCTCGGCCGCAAGCGGCCTCGGCGATAACTTTTCTCTTCATACGCTAAAAAGGCACTTCGCGGCCTTGGTATACAAATAACTATTATTTTTTATTTATTTCTTTAAAGGCCGCCATTTTGAACCCACATGGTCAGGAGTCGTTGTGCTTAGGGTCAAATCAATTATTTGAAGCTCTGCACCAAACAGGCAGAGCGGCATGCTTTCTGCAAGACAAGTTACTTTTTTTCGTACTAATATGATAAAATTCATGCTGTGTCTTGCTAGGACACATTTTCAAATACCTAATTGCATATTTTATTTTTAAATTTTAGTTCAAGTGACTAAAAATAAACATTAAAACACGTTTATTTAAATATAATTTATTTCTAATATAAATAATATATAGGTACGTAAATATACTGATTTGAAATCATAGATTTCATAGTTAACTCTTTAAAATACACAAAAATTAAAACGAAAATTATGCTGACAAATAAAAACCTACATTTTCTTTTCCGGATTTCTTCTCTGCAATTTCCTCAAAAGCCATACGGGAATTCTTTTCCGAATTTCCTCTTTCAACTGTCTATAAACCATTATCAACAAAACAGGAATCGCTAGGAGTTCATTTTCAAATAAATACAGCCAACAGGCTACAGCAAACATTGCTAAATCTGTCAACCAATCTACAGCCGATCGCACTTGGACTTCAGCTCGGGCCAGCAGTTGATCCTGAAATTGCTTGTCAGTAAGATCAAATGATTCTAAATAGCCTGAAGTTTGAGTAGTGATTTCTTTCAGCATTGGTTTACGTGTTGCACTTAGTGGCGATGGAGATGATTTTTTAGGTCTACTTGAAGATTCATCAAAAGGCGGTCTTCTAGATACGCTAGGTCCTCTTTTAGAAGGTGATTTTGAACGGCTCACAGATCTACGACCTTTAGACTGTGAGGCAGCTCGACCTCTTTGGATTTCAGTAGATCTTCGTGGCTCTAAAGGATTTTTTTGAATGTCTCTTGTTAGCGCAAGAGACTGGTATCCTACACCACTGTCTCTTCTAGGAGTAATATGACTATTCTTTCCTTCTAATGGAGTTGTTCGTTGAAAACCAGCATCGCTCTCTCTTCTCAATGGTAGGACTGAGGAAGTTGTTTGAATCCCTACAGAACTTTCTCCTTCTAAAAGCTTTTCTGGATTATTTTTATTATCCATTGGGGTTTGTTGAGCAACTCTTATACTACTGCCTCTCCTATAATAAAATAATTGTTGGTTGGAAGTATTTTCATCATTTTGGTGCAATTCCTCCAATGATTTCCTTCCATCATTATTATTTTTTGATCCAGTTTCGTAATAATCGTTAAATCTATACCCAGAAATACTTTGATAACCACTATCTTGACTCAGATTCTCTTTTGAAGGTGTTTGCTCTTTACCATCTTCAAAATTCTCTGCAGCTTTTTTCAATTCGTCTCTATTCAAAAATGGATTACTGGCTCGACGTTTTTGCCCAACAGTCCTCACGATATGATCATAATGGTCCGCAACTACTTTAACCTCTTCATCGTCTTTCTTTTTATCCAGCAGGTTTTTGGGAATAACTATGCTGGCTGCAGCAATCCCAGTTATTTGAGCCATAATTGAAATATTTGGCAAAGTCCCGCTATTTCTACTTTTTGGAAGATCTATTTTTGTTGGTAACTTTTCATTATTTTTCTTCTTTAACAGCGATGATGGCAATAATACATTTTGAGCTGCAGTTAAAGACAACGATCTTACTCTAGGTTTTTTCGGTTCATCGCTCTCATCTCCAGAGGATACTAGAGGTGACAACATTGGAATTGCCAACGATTTGGCCCTGTCTCTTTGTAAAACTACATCGGGACGTGGTGATAGGGCTCTAGAAACTCTAGTTGGTGATTGCGGGGGTGAAATTAATGGGGAAATATTTTGAGGCGAATCTGTCTTTTTAAGTATAGGTTTTGGAATGAAATTAGGATCAGGCAGCTCTTTTCTTTTATTTAGAATTTCGAATGGTTCATTCGTGATTACCATCCCACTAAGACCTCCAGCAGGTCGGTAAGTACTTTCTTCATTGAAACCTTTATTTAAGTGTACTTTTTTGCCTTTCGAGACTTCATATTTGAACTTTTCCAAGTCCTCTGATTCGGATTCACTCTCTGATAGACTTTCTTCATATTCTTTGTTCCATTCTAGTTCTTCTGTACTCGTAACAGGCCTATTTTCAAAACTTGATTGGGAATAAACTTTTTTTTGTTTTTCAAATTCTTGATCTGTAAGTTCCTCCGATGTTGATTGTTCATTGAGCATCATTATTTCACGTTTCATTTTAGCAGATAACGGGGATTTTTTCAGATTAGTAGTATTTGATAATAAATCTTGTTTCAAGTCTGATGGGTTTTTTAGACTGTATCTCTTTTGGGCCCATTTGGCTACTCCACCAGATGAGAATTTTCTTCTCAAAGAATGCCTTCTATCCAATCCAACAATGTCGTCACTTTCCCTATTATTTATTTGGATTTTCGGAATACTTTTCTTTTCTTCTAGTAATTTGTCTTCAGCTTCGGCATCTTCGTAGAAACGTATCATCGCTCTTTCGTGTAACAGTTCAGTGGAGCTAGATGAGTATTTGAGGGGTGGAAATTGGGGTTGCTCCAAGCAGCTCAGTTCTGGGGCTGATAGGGATAAAGGAGGCGGTACTGGGTCTACGTCGAAGTTCAGTATTAGGTCCTTTTCATCTAGAAGAAAGAAAATACTGAGTAGTAGGGAATTATTCTGGTGCTAACCCAAATTAACTTCGTTAGGCTTAGTTTGAGTTAATTGAGACATTTGAAAGAAAAAGTTTCAAATTTACCTTGATTATTTTCATCAGAATATAAAACCAACATAAACTCCGAGCTCCCACTATGTTCCCTGATAAGTTTATTTTTTCTCTCTGGACTTAATTGTGGCTCTACAATTGCTGGTGTTGGCTGTTCTTTAGGTGCCTGTATAGTAACCTTGTATGAAGCTTTTGAGGTTTCCTGTAATTTTAAATCGGGTGATCCATATGCCAAATCTCTAGCCAAAGATGCCCTATCAAAAATATGCTGATTCAATTTTGAAACTACGTCTTTACGTGGCAACATTGGTGATGTATCAGGAGTCTGCTGTTGACTTTTGCTCTTAGTCCGTTTGGGCCTCATTGGAGGAATTTCTTCTGTATTGGCATTATATGCTGGTACTTTAGAGGTTGACTGTGATCGTTTTCTCCTGATAGGTTTGGGTGACGTAATTTCCTCAAAAAAGTCTTGATCACTATCTCTTTTAAGAGGCTTATTTAATCCTCGTTTGGGATCTGGTATAAAAACAATTTCAGATTCTTCACTAGGATCGCTAACTCCATAAGGACTTTCAGCTTTGATGCGGAACTTGTACTCGCTGCCTTCAATGAGGTCGCCAAGTCTAGTAGTTAATTGTCTGCTAGTAGCAGCTTTAAGCCAAACATTCCAACCGAGTCTGTAATATTCGATAATGTAGTTGCCGATTTTACAACCTCCATCATCATTTGGTGAGGTCCAGGAAAGGGTAACTGATCTACCAAGAGTCATAACTACTCTAGCTTTACCTGGAACAGATGGAACTAAACAAACAAGTTTCAATTAGCTTAGTGTGGCATTTGTGACGTGATCATAGTGTTTCTGCGTTGTAATATAAAATTCGTACCTGGTGGTGATGGTTTATCGGTGACAGTAACCAAAAACGATGTGGTATCAGTGCCTAGTTTATTTACAGCTTTTATTTGATATTCTCCTCTATCGCTTCTTTGGGCATTTGCGATTTTGAGCGCGAAAGAATTGTCGCTATAATCTATTTTACATCTGTCAGTGTTTTGGATAGATTCTCCGTTGTGGTGCCAAAAGACTAATGGTGTTGGTCTTCCGACGACCGAGACTTTGAGACGAATTGTTTCACCTTGAGAAAAAAAATAAATAGTTCAAAATTTTAGGATTATTGGGATTCGATGCTTACCCAATTCAAAAAGTAATCCATCCTCGTAATTCCTAGGTAATCTTATATTGGGTGGAGCTTCTACGGTAAGTTTAGCTTTTGAAGAAACATGCCCAGCTCTATTGGTAGCAGTGCACTTAATTTCGCCTTCATCAGACAACGAAGTCTGATGGATCGTTAGAATGCTTCGGTCGTGTTCGGTGAGAATTCGGATTCGTCTGCTGCTAAATATTTCGAAACCATCCTTGAACCAGCTTACCTAAGTGAGAGTATAAAAAGAATTTGAGGCAAAAGTCAATCATTCAATTTTATGTGATGTTATAAACAGATGTCCAAGATAAGGATGGGATAGCATTAGGATCTGGAGAACCGTTGGAGTTACAATGTTGGTTAGATTAGCAAAAATTTCCGCAATTTAACACTCAATAAAATGGTTCTTTGACATTTGAAAAATTCCGAACATTTTCCGAGATTTCATCGTGGCCCCGTCAAGTTAACCCCCCACATTCGAATTTTCTAACGAAATTGCAGCCACTTACTGTACTCGAAGTGTGCCCCACTGTGTCGATGATATTTTGAACTGTGCCGTTCCGATACTAAAGTTATAGGAAAAAAGAGATGAGCAGCGCCGGTTCAAGACTCTACCGAGCCCTAGGCGGCAGTAGGCCTTAGCCCAAAGTAACTTTTTACTTTTTTTGTCCAAATTGAAAAAAAAAAGCCTTTCAGAATGCTGCTGCAAAGTGTTTTGGAACCTTCTAAATGGCTTTTTGAAGTTCTAAAGTGTTCTAACTTGGCTTAAAGAGTTCTGGAGCATCAGTGGCGATACGTGAGCAGTAATCTGGAGGGGGTAAATGGTACGGGGAGCTGAGGGGGCGCCCTCCAGAAACGCACCGAAGGCGAAATTTTTTACAAATTTCAAGGTGATTCACTTTTCCAGAACAATTATTTCCTTTGTGAGAAAAATGAAACAAAACAAAAATGTATTTTCTTCAATATAAGTATTACGTATTTTCCGAGGTATTTTCTATTTGGCATCGTGATCTTTCTCTTGATAATTCGATCCTGGGGGGGGGGTGATTACCCCCAGTACCCCCCCCCCCCCCGACGCGACGCCCCTGTGGAGCATTCTAGAAGTTTTCCAGTAATTTCTAAATAGTTCTGACAGATCTTTAAGTATTTTAAAGCCCTATTGAATTGGTTCAAAAAAGTTCTAAAAGGTTTCCAGTTCTAAATTAGGATTCAATTAGGTACTTTGAAATTGTTCTAAAATAACTCTGAAGTTTCTCAATTGCTCCAAAATGCTTCTGAAAATTCTGATTTGGATTTGAACTGTTTAGATGCCTTCAAGAGTTCTAAAGTTTTACAGCAATCTAAATTTGCTCTTAAAAGCCTTCTGGAAGGCGTTTTGTAACTTTTAATCTGAATTCTAAGATTCTGGCGCTTTTCAAAACGTTTCTGGGGATTCTAGGTTGTCTGAGTTTTGAGTGTTTTGGAGCGTCCTAAAATGGGTCTCAAACTTCTGAGTTGTTCTAAAATGCTTTTGGAAATCGGTGTTTGAATGTTTTGGGAGATTCTAAAATGGTTCTGAAATTTCCAAAATTTTTTGAAGCGCTACAGAATGCTTTTGAAAATTCTGAATTTAATTTTAAATGTTTTGAACTTTCCAAAAGGCCTATTAAAGTTCTAAAGTGTTCTGTAGGTAGTTTTAAATGGTTTCCAGTAACTTCTAAATTGATTGAGAAAACCACATTCGAGGCGTCTTGCCTAGGTCTTTAAGGCGTCTCAAAGACATCTTGAAGACGTCGTAATGTAACAAAACCCACCGTCTTCGAGAGATCGGCCTAAAGATGTCTTTAGCACTTGGACATTCTAAAGACTTCTTCAACGAGATCTCTCAAAGACGTTTTTGAATATATTTTCAATACATAAATCATTATTCACTTTTATTCTTGGTTATACCAAATAAACTGGTGGACAGTTGCTTTGCAACACGGAAAATTTTACCCAAATTCAAATCTCGATATTTTCGGAACGGAAAGAGATATCGAGTTGCGGTATTCGGGAGGTTCTTCACCAACTCTTTGAGAACGCGCACAAGGTTTGACCGGTATATTTCTTCCATTTGTGCACTTATACAGGGTGAGTAAAGGAAGTCATGTTTTTTTGGCAAAGTTTGGGGCTATGCCAGATTCTCAATTTTTGATCTTGGAAATTTTTATATGCATTTTTTTGATCTTTGGACTATCCCAAAAAAAGTAATTTCACAAATTTTTCGAAAGTTGGCTATAACGCAAATTATCGAATTTTTAAAAAAGGGTTACATTTATCCCTAAAAAAGTGACTTTTTCGGGGTTTCGCTTGAGAATGGGTATTTTTTTCTCATATTTTTGCACGAAGTAGAATTTCGTGGCCCCAAGAAAATATTGAAGCACTCATTGAACGTATTGCCTACAGTGGCGTGCAGAAAAAAATTGCTTTTGATATTATGTTATAAAACCGAATTTATAAATTAAATTATACTATGCAATTAAACAGCTTAATGAACAAATCCAAGTTACTATACTGTTTATACAGGAGTTTATTCCAGTGGCGTAATACCAAGAGCATCTTTTGGTTTGGTGGGAAGAACTTAAAAATTCGTATTTTTCAAAATGCTCTGATGCTGGTCTACACTGCTGTTCATTCGATACCTACTTATACACAATAGTCAGTGTTGTAGGAGATACCGTTATTACTGCGCGATAAACTGGTAGATACCTTCTGAGGTTCGCGTCCACTAAGCGGAACAGTTCGGGGCGGATCGCATCGCAAAAATCCGTCTACCATAGATTAAAATGGACTTGCAAAGTGGACGCAGATTCATTTGAATCTATGATAGACGGATTTTTGCGATGCGATCCGCCCCGGCCGCATCCAAACATTCCGGTATAGGATTCGGCACCTACGTACCTATATTTCATTGGTCCGTTTGAATTCGAATCGCCAATTAATGCGGAGAGCCGAAATCCGTACTGGTATGTTGAACGGTGCTGAGCATCAGGTCGAATGGTTCTGTAGCAACAGGTATGTGGAGTGCCGAATCTAAGGTCAAAGTGTTAAATAGTGCCCAGCTGCAGGTTGGAATGTTGCCCCGTCAGCGCGGCACAAAATCAGCGAACATAAGTTTTATTCACTTGATGCACATGAACTGAACAGCTTCGTTCACTGTTCAGTACTATGTTTTCCTCTAAAATGCAAGGTGAATTTGTTCACCACATTGAAAGTGTTTGAATGATTCAGACAAATTCATTTTGCATGTAAAGCACAAGGACGCATAAAGCAACGTGCCAAACAGACCGCATCCGCTGCAAAATTTTACGAAGGGGGTGGACAGCTGATTTAATAAAAAAAACCGTGCCAAACGCATGGTTACATTCTGACCTGATGCTCAGCACTGTTTATAACATTTTGACCTTAGATTCGGCACTCAACTGCTGAATTTCCTTTTTTATTATTTCCTTGAACCACTTTATTGTAAGCCCTATGATGGCATACAATAACATATCTAAAAATGTATTTTCTAAAGTCTATTCGTATCCAAGAAGGACCCTTTAATCCAAGCGGGTACGCCAATGCTGAATAACAAGGTTAAAAAATTCCAGATGAAAGATGAACAGCAGAAAAATACGGATTTTTAAGTTCTTCCCATCAAACCAAAAGATGCTCTTGGTGTTACGCCACTGGAATACACTCCTGTATCAAGAGAAGTAACTTGGATTTGTTCATTAGGCTGTTTAATTGCATAGTATAATTTAATTTATTAATTCGGTTTTAATTACATAATGTCAAAAGTAATTTTTTCTGCACGCCACTGTAGGCTTAACGTTCATTGAGTGCTTCAATCTTTTCTCGGGGCCAAGAAATCCTACTTCATGCAAAAGTATGGGAAAAAATACCCATTCTCAAGCGAAACCCCGAAAAAGTCAGTTTCTTAGGGATAAATGTAACCCTTTTTTAAAAATTCGATAATTTGCGTTATAGCCAACTTTCGAAAAATTCGAGAAATAACTTTTTTTGGGATAGTCCAAGGATTAAAAAGATGCATATAAAAATTTCCAAGATCAAAAAGTGAGAATCTGGCATAGCCCCAAACTTTGCCAAAAAAACATGACTTCCTTTACTCACCCTGTATAAGTGCAAAAATGAAAGAAATATACCGGTCAAACCTTGTGCGTGTTCTCAAAGTATTGGTGAAGAACCTCCCGAATACCGCAACTCGATATCTCTTTCCGTTCCGAAAATATCGAGATTTGAATTTGGGTAAAATTTTCCATGTTGCAAAGCAACTGTCCACCAGTTTAGTTGTCTGAGATATGAATTTACAATATCTTATATAGACATCTTCAAAACAACGTCTTCTAGGCGTCTTTTTTTGGTCTTCAGCGTTCAGATGTAATATGTAATGCTCTCATTGAACAACACAATACTATCATTATAATCAATTAATTCAAACATCAAATATATAATAGTGTGATTATTTTAGTGGCATGAAGACGTAATAATTAAAAGTAAATGAAAAATTTTCTTGTCTCGACTGGGAAAAATTGTTGAAAGACTTGATCGACAAGGTATAAATGAAACAGGTCTTGGTAGCTTATAGTTATAGTATTAATTATATAACAGACGATAAAAACTTCTAAAACATTGTAAAAATATTTGGCTTGATATTGATGGTTGGGCGTCCGATTCCGATGCCTGCCGATGTCGCTATATGTCGACGACGCATCTGGTTGAAGGGATAATGGATTCCAAAAACAACCATTAATTGCGAATGTGTTCCCCATACCTCCTAACTCACTCCCATACCAACGGTAACCGCCGAAGGTTGCCGATGGTCACAAACTAACAACTTAAAAATTGATGAAAGACTTGATCGACTGGGTAGAAATGAGACAGGTCTCGGTGGCTCAGTTGGTAGAGCATTACACTGGAAATGTAGGGGTCCTGGGTTCAAATCCCAGTCGAGACAAGAAAATTTTTCATCGACTTTTAATTTATGACTCTGCATGCCACTAAAATTAACACTCTTTAAAATTATATAACAGACGATAAAAACTCTAAAAAAATGGTAAAAAATAGTTCTGTCGTTTGCTCTCAAAATTTGATGTTTCATTTTTAAAACTAGTGCCTTAAAGACTTAAAACTAGTGCGATAAAGTAACATTTTCAATGCTACGAGGGGTTCTAAAAATTGCATTTTTAACACGTTTGTAGAAAAAAT